CACTATGCGGCTGGACTTCCACTCCTTAACATCAGGCGTTTCAGTGCTCAGGCGCATGTTCGTGTCGTCTGTGATGATGGTGTTGATTGTATGGTGAACCTTGAGGTCCTTCGACTTCTCCACCGATGAGAAAATGTTGATCAACACGGAAGCCCACGCTCGCAAGTAAGACACAAGCAGCCGAAGCCGTGTACTTCGAGCTTTTCTTGTCCACTGTCCAGCATCATTGAGGTTTGTATCTGGCTGGACATATGGCCGAAACTGCTCAGCCTTATGGTCAGGAGGTTTGAGGATGGCGTTCTTTGCCAGTCGCTTTCGGGTTCTTGTCACCAGGGATGCAGCTCGAGCCTTTGCTGTTTGGGCTTGACGCTTCAACCTTTGCCTCAATGCAATAAGCTCGTTTGGCCCGTCCTGTTCGCCCTCCTCGTCAACATTCGCACTACTTCGATCAGTAGTGTCAGAGTCAGAGCAAGAGCAAGAACTGGCTGAACTGGCATCAGCAGAGTTTGCATTGCTGCTCAGCTGCTGCTCTTGACCAGAGTCTGAACATGATTCAGGATCAAACAACATTTTAAGGACACATCATCACATCAAGCTTCAAACCATGTGCATCTGGTCCGTTCATGGCTACACTGCCGCTTCCCATCTTGAAAGTTGTTGTATCTAGAATCGATTTTCTGTTGAATCTAATCTAGGATCCAGGATCTAAGTCTAGATCTGAATACTAAGTCATGTGAGTAATGTGCCACAGTTTGTACATATATATAATATATACATCAAATCATATACATGTTTTCTTGCCATGGACGGAGTTATAGGAGTTTTGGGAGCTACCCCGTACAGCAATACTTTTTTTTTGGAGCAGGAGGTTTAGAGTCTATAGCCTATGGTCCAGTCTTTGGTTTGTAGGCTGTGGGCTATGGGTTGAGTAGATGGTGGGCAGCTACAATTCTCGATTATCTATCATGGTGCAGTGGCAGGAGCAGTAAGAAACGAGTGACAAGTGATCCCTGTATGCACAGTGACTCAGCCTATGTTCGGGTAGCTCATGGTCACCTCTCACCTCTCTTCATAATTCACAAAGTCACAAAGCCACTAAAGGCTGAGGCCGAGGAATGATGTACGCCCTTGATACACCCTAAGCTCTGAAAACTATGATACGCTATGACCTTGAGCTGAAAACTAAGCTCTGGTCTGTTTGTGGAAGTCTCCAGTCTCCACCTTTTGTTTGCTTTCGCGCCTCATACTTTCCTCCAATTGGTGGGCTGTACTTCTTCAGCAGGCCGCAAACCTGAGCTGCCCAGCTGCTCAGGAGTGTGTGAAAATTAAAACTCGTCCTCACTCTCTTTGTATTATTTTTTTCTTGGTTTGTTTTCTTCTCGCTGTCCTGTTTGATGCTGTGCCAAAAAGTGCTCAAGAAGTCTCAGTCTCCACTTCCAAATTTATCGGGGGATAGTAGGCAGCAAGCACGACACATGTGGACAAAGTGTGCACGGGAATGTGCCAAGTGGCCTCCTCTATTATCACCGCCCTTGGGTTCAACTGCCTCACCTTGCGGAGGCAGGCCTTCACCGTTTCCCCGCCTGGCCTCAGATAGTCAGTAGCTGACAGCTCTTGCGTTGGTGTTTGTCAATCCTCCTGAAGATGTTTGTCGGTGCCATGGTTGAACCCGAGGTCAATTGGCCTGTGTCACAGTCACCGGCCTGATGCTCCACCGTCTTAGTATAGAATGATTATCATATACATATATAGAATATCTTCAATCTTAAATGTGGAATCTTATACTATTCTTATTTATTTTTCTTGGTCTCGGTCTTGGTCTGAGTCCTAAGACTTAGTACTAATATTGTAGGGTTCTTACAATTCTACAGCGTCTGTCATTGCTTCTTATTGCTCACTTCTTTGTTCTTTCATGTTTTTCCTACATTACAGTCATTAGACCAGAGTCTAGAGTCATTGAACTTGAACAAGGACACAGGACAGCAGCATGCACAGTTAAACCAATCAGAAACACGAGTTCAGCGACCAAGAACAAACACGAATGAATCGAGTTGTAATGCCCCAAGCCCAAACTCCGACTCCCAAAGTCTCAAGCCCTTACAGTCCCTGTCTCCCTGGGCCCGGTGTGTGCTGAACAGCCACTCGTTGAAGGGGTTATAACCCGGCTGCTTGGTCCTTCCGTTCAACACTGAGAAGATTGGGCAAGGAATGCCCATGAGACATATGTCCGCATTGGCATTCTCCTGAGAGTCATGGCTTTGAGACATGCCGCATACCATGACAAAAAGCTACCATTGGAACCTAGAAGAACTGGGAACTTGGGGAAGAACAAATCCATACATAGTGGAGTTGCGACGGTGATCCGATATCGGTATCGGTATTCAGTCACGAGTCATAGTCATAGTTATATCCGAGCCTAGCTATAGTCATAGTCACAGTGATTGGGCCCGCATATAAATCCACATTTGTAGCAATTACAAAACCGGTTGCAAGTCAAAAAAGAAAACAAATAGTAGTCCAGTCTGTAGTAGTGATCAAGTGCAGTCCTGACATATGTCATAGATCAGCGCCACTCCACTACTATTGTTAATGTTCGGTGTTTGTTGGATAGGTACACACTCTGAACCAAAGCCCAAGCAAGTGTCCTCAACGCTCAGACTGTGCTTGGCCTTGCATGTGCAGCAATAGGTCTCGTCCTGGACGTTGTCATAGAAGTGATTCCCTGGGCCAACCAAAAAGAACTAATGACTCAAATGACTCAAATGTTCCAGTTTGCTGTTTGCTTGCTTGTCTGGGCATGTTCACATGGCAACAGGGAAGAGGGACCATATGCACACAGCTGTGCGCACACACACACAGCCAAGAACACCAGACTATCAGAAGTGCACCAGAACCTCACAGGACGTCTAATTTGGCCACGCAGCAATCAAAATGATGAAGACACCATTCTCTGCACTTGGCATTGCTCTCCGACGAGTGCGTGATGTGAACTTGCATCCCCGTGTTCTCTTCGACGTATTTCCTCAATTGACTGGACAATGTGACTGCGTTGCTGTCATGTGAGGGCTCCCATCACTCAATGACTTTGGTTTGGTTTGGTCTCTGGACTCGACTCTTAACTCTTAACTCAACAATTGTCCCATATCAAGTGCTCTATTCCTCCGAATCCCGATTTCCACCACAACTGCTCAACTGCTGACTTGCCCTGCCAAGTATCATCAAGTAGCCCAAAATGCCTGATCCTTCGCACGCTCCCCAAACTGAAATCCTGGCCAACACAACACGTCCTGTTAGTCACACAATGACACTGCTTGACTTTCACCATTTCACACATTCCAGACTCCAAACTGCAAACCCAACCTGAGCTACTAATTCTGATAGCAGCAAGGCAACCCATCACGAATCGTGCGTGCTTGAGTCACAGCTTCTTTTTTAATGCTTTGAACATCATGTTGGTTGTAGGGGTGAATGCTGCCACGCTTCGAGGGTGCAACAAAATGCGCTTTTTGCACCCCAGCTTTCTCCATGTACCTTAAGCGGGAGTCTGATCCGCTGGCACAACTGGAACAATTGACTTGACATGGACAAACACAAAATCAAAACAAGTCGTCTATATGTAGTTGTCACTTCATATGATACAGTCCAGTCTAATGTCCACTTTTCCCATACTTAATTTGTCAGCACAAGTAGCTAGCAGAGTACTGTAGAGGGGGGGTCAAAAGATTTAAACCGCTCCAGGCTCTATGACTATGTGCAACAATCGACTTAGTAGTGCTGCTGGGGGTCAATCAAACGCTAGAGAAAAGATCCTGGATTCAGTCCTGGGCACCCAGCACTCAGGACAAACCAAACTAACCTAACCAAATTAGCAGTGAAGCGAAGAGATTTCTTGGCGGCTTCCCCTTGCCAAGTTGCAAGGGAAACCACTGTCGTGGAAACAAGGTGTAGTTTGCTGTCAAGGTGACAGGCTTTTTTCGAGCAAGGAGGTCCTCAATTCGGGATTGCAAGAAGAGGTGTGCCAGTGCCCTTCCTGAAGACGTCTGAAAAACATTGAATGGTTTGAATGTGACTCTGACTGCGCACTTGCAGATTGAAGATTACCTTGCATTCAAAAAAACACACTAAGCCCTGCTGAGCGTCATGAAGGCGGTCAGTGCTGGACCCCGATTCGCTGCAGGCACTTGAGGCAAACTCATTGTCCGAATTGTCGGAGTCCAATTGGCTTGCTATGTCATTCTCCTCAAGGCTGACAAATAAACCAACCAACAAACTAACTAACTGCAAACAAACTGACAAACTAAACAGTCAACAACAAAGAACAGAGCCTTGCCATTCCTGGCCCGCTTCATTCCGATATGTCTTGCCTACGCCACTTGAACTCAACTGCTGTGTGATCAGTTGTGTTTGTTCAACGCCCACCCCGAAAAATGATACTGATACTCATACTCAATATTGAATCGCTGGCTGAAAGTGGTGACACTCAATGGAAGATTTTGGCCAAAGTGCGGCAGCGGAAGAACTGCTGCAACTGCCAAAGACAGCGCTGGAACAGCGCTTTGACATGGCCCTCTCCCGTCTCTCTCTTTTTTCCTTCTTTTTTGAGCCCGCTGCACGAACTGACTAGTGGTCATCACAACCACCCACTCTCACACGAGGGAACAATTATATATATATAGTAATATGGTAATATAGTCAAAAGTAAATAGATGTAAATAGCAAGTGAGTGCCAAGAGTTTCGGGCCTTTGTCCAAACCACTTTGGACATGAGTTGGGCTCAACATGGGGCCCAGTGGGGGCTCCAAGGAACAGGTGCCAAGTAATTCAAAGCAAGTTTGGGGAATTTACATCAGTTTGGGTTTGATGTTGGGTTCATGTTGGGGTTCCAAGTAACCTTGTCAAGTAGTTCCCCAACATAGTGCTGGATTAAACGGGTTAGCACAACACAAGCAATGGCACAAAGAGGCCATTGCATGAAATAACCTTTCGGCTTGTGATCTTAGGAGAAGTTCGAGTTCAACGGCTCCTAGTGCTTTGCGTTGCCTGCCTGCGAGCGTTGTTCGTGTTTGTTTTTTCCCGAATGCATAGCGAAGGGTTCTCGTTTAACTCTTGGGGGTTTGGGGGTAGAGGTTTGTTCGCGACCCGTTGCTTCTATGTTCGCAACCGTCCGCAACCGTCCGCAACCGTTCGCAACCGTTCGCAACCGTCCGCAACCGTTCGCAACCGTCCGCAACCGTTCGCAGTAGAGCGCTAAGGCGCTGCCATTGGGGGAAGCTTTTGCAAGTGACCAGGCACGGATGTGTCACGTGTCAGTTTGCGCCGCTATTCCATTGTGATTTGCGTGAAAAGGACATGTCGCGCAAGAAGCGTGATGCATTTCGCTGCACAGGGGCAGCATTTTGTGAGATCCACAGTTTGCTACGCAGTTCCATTGGGATTAGCGTGTGGAGAGTCGTGTTTTTGGGGTGTTGGATGTGGCCGTGCCATCGGGATTTGCGTTTCAGGATGTGGCGTCGAGGCTCTGTTTTCGTGACAAGTCTCAGCTGAAATGCCGATTTGGGTGGATGGGAGTGTGCTCAGAACGGGTCGAAATCATTCCAAACGTGTGGTGTGGTGCAAATTTTGTTGAAGCTCACATGAGATGACATTGTTACTTTTCGTGGCAGGCGCAGGACTTTGTGCGGGCTTTGAGGTGTGGAAGTGGGATTTTCGTGGCAGGCGCAGGGAATCGTGAGGTTGTGATGTGTGACGGAGGTGACATTTCGTGGCAGGCGCAGTACTTTGTGCGCGTTAGACGTGTGGACGCGGAAAGATTCGTGGCAGGCGCAAGGGAATCGGGAGGTTGTGAGTTGTGAGGACTCGTACGAAACGCTCGTTTTGGGGACTTGACATGTGACTTTTGGAGGAAGTCTCGTACGAAACGCTCGTTTTGGAGACTTGACGTGTGAATTTTGGAGCAAGTCTCGTACGAAACGCTCGTTTTTGAGACTTGACGCGTGACTTTTGGAGGAAGTCTCGTACGAAACGCTCGTCTTGCAGCCTCGCAGCGTGACTTTTGGAGGAAGTCTCGTACGAAGAGTGTGCCCTACAGGAGTGTCCCACAAGAGTGTCCTACAAGAGTGGCCCACAAGAGTGTCCTACAAGAGTATCCCACAAGAGTTTCCTACTAGAGTGTCCCACAAGAGTATCCCACAAGAGTGTCCTACAAGAGTGTCCCACAAGAGTTTCCTACTAGAGTGTCCCACAATGAGTGTCCCACAAGAGTGTCCCGCAACAGTGTCCCGCAAGAGTGTCTCACAAGAGTGTCCCTTAAGAGTGTCCCACAAGAGTGTCCCACAACAGTGTCCCGCAAGAGTGTCCCAAATGAGTGTCCCACAAGAGTGTCCCGCAACAGTGTCCCACAAGAGTGTCCCACAAGAGTGTGTCCCACAAGAGTGTCCCACAAGAGTATCCCAGAAGAGTGTCCTACAACAGTGTCCCACAAGAGTGTCCCACAAGAGTTTCCTACTGGGGCCTCGCTTTAAGTCGTATCAACTGGAGGAAAGTCGTATCAAAGTGGTGTGCCCTTGGGGATTGACTTATCTATGGATGTTTATTCTTGTTATATTTGTGTTGTGAACAGATGTTGAATGCGCTGTGCCCATGCGGTTCTTTGTTTCATAGATTCAACAACCTTTGTTGCATCGGTGCTTGAAGGTGTTCATATGGTGCAAAGGTATTGTTGAGTGGAACACTCTGGTGGGTCAATTGGCCTTATAGGTGATTGAGCCGCTGTGTTCAGCCATTTGGGTTGAACAAAGAGTGACCCAGCCTGTGGTGCCAATGGCAAGTGTGGCGAAGACGCCAGCGAAGAGGAAGCAAGCAGAGCCAAATGAGAGTACCCCGGAGAAGACTGTAGCCTGATCTGAATTGGCTGCTCTGATTGATTTTTTTGTTGCTTGGGGTCGTGTTTAAAAGAGGATGCGTATCTGTATGTAACCTGCTTGCATATATAGTATATATATATAGATATACAATAAAGTTTTTACTCATATATATATTGTATATATATATATATACATATGTGTATTTATATGTATATATTGTATACATATATATATATTATATAGATACATATATATATATTCTTTTCCTATACTATATTTATTTTGGTTTTGAGGTCTGTAGGCTGGTGTTTACTGTATCCTTTGCAGCGCGTACAAGAGGGTTTCCCATGAATACCCAGCGGATAGATATGCACAATGCGCTTTCTGAATGCTTGTGGTATGTGTGTGTGCGCGCCAGAGACCAGAGAAGTAATTCTGCCGGCCAGTTTGTTGAGCTCAGGTGCTACTTGCAGGTGACTGCGCAGAAGAAGAAGCTCCAGATGCTTGGCAGGGAGCTGCTGTAGGCTGTGCATCTGCCTGGCTTTGGCTTGGGCTGCGAGGTTGCTCTCCTTGCTTAGTTGCCTTGCTGGAGGGCCTTGTGTCCGCTGAGGCTGGGGGAGGGCCTTGTGTCCGCTGTGGCTGCGCTGTGGGTGCTAGTATGCTTGCCAGCGTTGTGCGCATTTTGTGCATTCCCATGTGCACGCGCGTCCACACTGCAACAACACCAGCGACCACACATAGAAACACAGACCGCCGGATATGTTATGAGTGTGTTGTAGCCTAGTGTGTGGCACTGATAGATCTATATATGTATATTTTGTATATGCTTATCTATATGTATTTTGAATATGGTTACATATGAATATGATACAAGTGTTCTGCTTTCGTTTTTTTGATGACAGTGCCTGGAAGGATTACTTCTGGAATCTTTTACTCCATGGTCGCTGGTTGAGTACATTTTTTTGATAAAGGGGCTTGCAGGCCTTTGCTAGAAGCTACTTGATGTCATTTTCCCCTAAGGACATGTCGCTGTATGAATTTGTCAGCACGCTGCGGAAGAAACACACAGACATCTTTCGTAAACTGGACGCTCTGAAGTTTACCGAGAGGGAACGTGTCAAAGGAATGAAGGGGGTTGTTCCTGACACTGTCCTTGAGTGTGTCTTTTGCGGGCACCACAAGCACAGTGTGAAGTGGATGAACCGCCGTGACCTCAAGAATGTGAAGCTACCAACAGGTTCTTCTTGTTTTTGTTGTGTGAAAGCAGCAGAGCTGCTTGGACCCACTCGCTCCCCGCAGCTCATCGAACAAGTGGGTGCGAAGGCCTTGCTCTTAGAAGTGAGCTCTCGCAAGCGGAGGAAGCTAGGGGCACAAGACCGTTGTTTTTGCACTGCTTGCTGCCGCCACAGGCATGACATTGAAGATGTCGACTAAGTCCATTTGTGGCCTCTGTTTCTTTGGGGTTTGGGGAAGGCGTGCAAACCGAACACGCTAGCAGATCAGACATATCTGCGTTTAGACTTGAAACATCGGAGCTTAAAGGACCGCAGAGGAGAGCTTTGGAGAGTGCATGGCTATGTCCAAGTGAGCTGTGAACATGAAAGCGTTTGAAGGCGTCAGGTTTGCTTGGTATTCTCCCGGCTGCTTTGTATATGTGGTCTCTTTTCTGACTCGGGAATGTAAATAGAGCAATGCTCTCCGCAGGCTTTTGTTTTTTCAAAGGCCTCATGCCGCCCAAAAAGCTAAATGCTTCACAGATAGTGCGCTTGAACCTTCTTGACCTCCATGAGCAATTGCATGAGCAAAAGATCGCTGTGAACTCTGGTGACCTGGACTTAGAGCTTCGTGCCAAGCTAGCCAGGGCCCTTTTTGATGCATCCCAATTGTCTCCTGTTGAGAAGCAGAGAGCGCAAAAGATTGCCAAAGCCTCTGAGACAGTACACCTTACGAAGACCACGGTTGCTTCCAAGTCATACTCATCTTCGCAGGTTGCCAGGTTGTCGCTGGATTGTTTGCTGGAAGCCTTGCAAGAGAGAGGCATCACATTCGCAGCCAACAGCTTGGAGCTGGAGTTGCGTGCTTTGCTGGCCAGAGCATGTGCTGGTGCAGCAACCAAGTCAGCGAGCCACCTGTCTCGAACATGTTTCTCTATAGATTAAAAGACCTATGTTTTTACAGCCACATGGGGCATATGTCTTCTAGAGCACTTTTGATTCATGTTTGGACCTCGCCTGGACCTCGCCTAGTGGCCACTTCCTTTCAGTGAAGTTTCTCCATTTCCTTTCAACCTTGTAAGGTTCTGCAGATCCACCTCTTCCACCTCCACATTCTCCTCCTTCAGCGGACCCGGAGGTGCATATGCTGGAGGCTCTCGCTGCGCAAGCGGAATCTCATGTGAAGCCTCCTGGCTGCGCAGAATGCAAGATGGAGTTGACTCAGCTCAACCGTTCTGCTCTGCCTGGTTGGTGCAAGCTTTGCTTCAGAGCCCGAGTGTTCCTCGCACTGATGTTGGCATGCTGTTTCGTTTGGCTTGTGTTGATGTTGTGGGAAAACATGCGCCTCAGCAGCAGTAAGGTATGTCAACAAGACCCCGTGTGGCAGAGCAGAGGCTTGCTTGGCATGCAGCGCTACACTCAGCGCCGAGAACAAAGCACCTGTCCCTGGCATTTGTTTTTTCTTGCTGGCAGTGTCAAGAAGACGCTTGGGAAGACCTGACGCAGCAAGCAAAAAAAGGATCCTCAGCAGCCAAGCGCAGATCTGCCGGAGTCAGTCCTTGCCAAAGATCACCTAGTCAGCTCAGATGCTGTCGCAGGAGATTTGTTTGAGCCTCCAGCACCTTCAAGAGAACATGGTAGCTCGGCTGATGTGCTCCAAGACGAGCAGGCTGAGATTGCCGCTTGTCAACAGGAGGGCGAGAATGAAGTGTCATTGAGTTCAAAGAATGAAGCCGTCGCTAGAGACAATGCTGTGGCCACGGTTCTGCAGAAGCCACCTGGTGTCAGCTGGTGCACTTTTTTCCAGAAAGTTGCTGCCACTGTCGGTGTCAATTTTGATTTTAGCACGATGCCTGGCCGACAAGCTTTGAGCACATGGAAGGACATGACTGTCAAAAAGAGACAGGATTGGCAAAAACAACACGAAGAATGGTCTAGGTCTCAGGGCTGCTCCTTTTCAACTCCGCAAAAGAAGAGCAAAGAGCTGCCAAGCAACAGCCCATCTTCCACTGAAAAGGAAGTGCAGTCAGCCCGCTTGCCTGATTTGACAGGTCCCGAGCCACAGTTCACAAGCAGAGTAACTTCAGTTCAGGGATTTCACAAACGATGGTCGTTTTTGAAGAAGCAGTTGCAAGAGGCCGAAGGGTCTTCATTTTTCTTGCAGCAAGCTCAAACACTGCATCTGATGTATTTGGATGTTGTGTCTTTGTTGGACGCTGAAAAATTGAAGAGCTGCTCGCAGGCAGAGTCTGAATTTCGTGACTACCGAATCAACCGCCTCAAGGTCTCCAGGACGCAGGCCTGGCTGGCAGAGCAAGAGTGTCAGCGGCAAGCAAGCTGGGCACCGCAAGAGTTTTCGGCTGGCAGGCATGGGTCAGGCCTTCTGACCATTGCTCAGAAGCAAGATGTATTGAGACACATCCTGGCCATGTCTGGGAGCAACAAGTCAATGTTCCCCCATGAGGTGAAACAAGCCATGTTCAAGATGGTGCTTCTCAACAAGAAAGTGGTCACACTAGAGGAGGCTCGTGACAGGGACCTGCCATGGAAACAGATTGCAGATTATCAACCAACATTAGATGGGGTCTACAAAGACTTTCGTGCGTGGGTGAAGCAGACGTACCCAGATAAGGTGAAGATCATCAACGCAAAGGTTTGGAGCAAGAGCGGAGAAGAAGCAGCAGCCATTTCGCCAGCTACCATCAACCAGCATTTTGATGCCCTGGAGCAATTTCTGATAGACTGCAAGCTCATGTGTCCAGACACCAGGTGCTTGCTTGCAGGCTCGGAGGAATTGATTTGGACGTGCGATGAAAAGGGCTTGTCGGGCCAAGACACATCGATCAAAATGGCGAAGGCGTTGACAATCTCTGGTGTCAAGGCGACAAGGGAGACAAAGGACAAGAGCTTTGGACACATCACATTGCTGCCCTTCTGCTCTCTAAAGGGTGATTGTGCACCACCCTTCGTCTTTGTGAAAGGCGCTGCAGAAATGAAAAGCTGGAAGCAGGTCTGGGAGTCTGCTACAGTGATGGCCACAGAGAATGGCTCTTGCACAACCGCATTGTTTACACAGGTCCTGGGTCTGTTTGGTAAGTTTGTGAGGGAGGAACTGCGAATTGCAGCTGGCAGCTCTGTAGCTGTCTTGATGGACTCAGGTGGTGGAGCTCAGATTCACATATCACCTGAGGCATCTCTCATTGCAGACACCTTCGGCCTGAGACTTTTTTTCTTCAGAAAGAATATGACTCCTGCTGTCTGCAGCTTGGATCAGCGCCCCAATCTCGAGGCTGAGAAGAGGTTCCACCAGATCATCGCATCTGGAGCAGATATGACTAGCTTGGGGGCTCTTCTGGCTGCTCGCGACGTGCCTTGGGACTTTCAAAGATGCAAGTGGTTTTCTTGAACATCCTTTTCCTAGGTCGCGCTCTCTTTTTCTCGCCTTGCTAACTAAACAAAGCTCTGCCTCAGGTATGGACCCACGCATACACCAAGAAGAACATTCTTGAAGGCTATGAGGAAGTAGGCATGAAAACAGACTCCAAGCTGAACCGCAACAAGCTCTTAGTAGAGCGTGCTGCTCTGATGAAGTGCAACCTCAAGAAAGCCGAGGTGGCCTTGTCGACGCCTGAAGGTCAAGTAGCTTGACCTTTGCCGTACACTGTCCCCAACAAGTCAGAATGCTGCAGCAAGTGCCAGAAGTTGACACCAACACATTTGCCTTTTTGCGGCCACTGTGGCCAACCAAACAGCGCCTACTCAAAAGAAGCTGCTGCTGTCGCCAAAGGCAGCAAGTCTTTTGGCTACAAAAAGCAGCAGGGTCCAGTGTTTGATGTGGATGCAGCGCTGGCAAAAGTGCCGGAGGAGGAGAAAGAAAAGCGATATGCCTTCATGGGCGACCTGCTGTCAGAAATGCGGAAAAGGAAGCAAGATTCCACAGCACAGGAACCAGAGCCTAAGAAGCCAACGCTCAACAAATTGGCAGACCAGCGAGAAGGTGCAAAGGTGCCTGCTTCTTCTAGCAAGGGGCCTGAGAAACCTGAGCACGTTGGTGATGTTCAGTCAGAAGAGTCCCAGTCTGACTTTGACTTGGAGTCGCCTGATGATGCCCAGAAATTCCTGGAGGCGCATTGGCGTCGTGAACAGAGACAGGAGATTCGACCAGTGATCCAGTTTTATTTGTCTGAGCTCAAGAGGGAAGTCTCAAAATCTAGAACCCTGTCCCAATTGATCGGAATGCGAGTGAATCAGACAAACATGCTGGCAAGCAAGCAAGGGCGGGCCAAGTTCATTGAAGCTTGGAAGCAGAACCGTGCCAAGAGGTATGCAAAGCATCCTCAGACCAAGAAGAAATGAAAAAAATGATGTTGGGAGCGCTGCCTGCAGTGGGTTGGCCATGGTGATCTCTGGTGTTTACAAACATACCTAACATACCTGTGATGGATGTGACAATGGGATTTACATTGCAAAAACCTGAAAAACCGTACTCAGTAATAGCAAATTCTACAGTTTGGGCAAGGTTTTGGACATCTTTCTTCTTTCTGAAGACTTGCTTTGGCGACGCTGTGCCATTGGGGTTTGCATGTTTTGATGTGACTTCTTTCCACCTGATGTGACTTCCTTCCAATGCGGTGTGCCATGGGGTGATGTGACTTTTCACCGACTGATGTGACTTAAACCCTGCGCTTGTACAAGAGTTTCCCACAAGAGTGTCCCACAAGAGTGCCCTACAAGAGTGTCCCGCAAGAGTGTCCTACAAGAGTGTCCCACAAGAGTGTCCCACAAGAGTGTCCCACAAGAGTGTCCCAAATGAGTGTCCCACAGGAG